AAACACCAAATGGAACCAGGCCATGTTCCTGAACCACTATTGCGAAGAGAATCTCTCCTCCATCATGGTTGCACTAGACAAAACTGGAGTGTGAAAGAAAAAAAGAGAGAGGGTGCTGATAATTAGAAGTTAAAAAGAAGCAGTGACACAAAATTATGAAAGCCTTCTGCTGTGCTACCCCATCTGAGACAGAGTGGGCTAGCAGTTAGCAGCACCAAGTTAAAAGAAGCTCATTTCTGCTCTTATACTGAACTCCAACTGATAATAACCACCAAAGGGAAAACTGGAAGTCACCAGTCACACCGAAGTAGAATCATTTATCACAACCAAAAAATCAAATAAACAACCCCCCACTACCACTACCAAATTTAAAAGACAAAAAACAAACAAACAAACAAACAAAACAACAAAACGTGAGTTGCTAGAATCCCAGATCCCAGGAAAAAGAGATTTGGTGACTATGTTAATTAACTAGCTTAATTGTGACAATTATTTCACAATGTGTATGTGTGAAAGCATCATGTTTTCTATCTTGAATGCTGGCCATTTTTTAGCAATTGTACCTCAATAGAGTTGGGGCAGAAGATTTGAAGGATTCAGAGTCATTGTAAATGTCCTGGGTGGAGGGTCAGGAAAGAAATCCCTTTGATGGAAAAGAAACCCTGTCCGTGTGCATCATTCCATCCTCAGCATGTGTCATCCTCCACTTGCACTGAGCTCCATTCCACCCCTTGGAAATCTCCAGACACAACACATGTCTTGCTTTAGTAGTTCTCAACAGGCTGAAATGTAGGAAACTGTCCTCTCAGTGGGACTCCTGGCTCCCAGGAGCCCAGGGTAGCACCCAAAAAGCAACTCCATCCCCACCCCTAGACAGATGGAAGTCATCTTTCTCCACCAGGAATCTTGATTCTCAGGGTTGTTCAACCTAAATGAAATCTGGGAGCAGATGCAGATCTCAGAGATGAGTGGACACAACCTGATTACAGATGTGGGACTGCCAACTGAACTGACAACTCAAATAGCATCCCTCACTTGTGAGCCATGCCAGCTGGTCCATTCCACTGGCTGAGAGTGTGCTTTAGAAATGTGCCTGCCTTTCATTTTCAAATGTGTCACAACTCATCTTTTTGATGTTCCAGAACATTCTGGAGCACAGAAGACTAATCTCACTTCATGACAAGACATCTGTTTGAGATGATGACAGAAGGCCCAGGCTCAGAACCTGCCTACATCATCCTGTTGATGGCCAGAATCAGCCTCTGTCCCTCTTTTGTCATGGAACATTCAGTGGTTCATGAATCAAGAAGAGAGAAAAAACACACTTCCAACGTTAGTGATGTAAACAAATCTTAAAGGTTTGTTTTGCTAATAAGGAGTCCCAAATAACCTTTTGATAAAGATTATTTTACTAAAAGTAGAGTGCCAAATAGGTACCTGGCCCTGTTCTGAAGACTGCTATTTTTGAATACAGCTGTGCAAGTGGGAAAACACATGCATCTATTTCAGGCTTATCCACAGTCCCTGACAAAAGCCAGCCTTCACCTCGGTTGTAAGTATGCCCACAAAAAGAGGAAACAGGGTAAGCTTCCATTGGTCACGCTGTTCTCTTGTGGCCAAAGCATAGCAGATGTGTCTTAGGATAAATCTTGCAGTTGAAGACAGAGATGTCCTAGCCTGTAGAACTCATTTGAGCCAAAATGGAACTTGCTTTAAAGGATCACTGGTAGCAACAGCTATTGCAGAGGGGAAATGTAAATATCAATTAGTGTTCCATCTTATCAACATAAGGAGCATTCTGAACATGAAATATGACATGGGAAACAGGGACAACTCTGCTCAGGCAATGCACCGAGGACTTTACTCAACACTTGGTAGACATACCATGATTCATTGCATCCAACACAACTGTGATGTTCTTATAGGCAAAGATAATGAGTTGCTGAAAAGCTAAGAATACACCTTGCAAGAAGAAGAACTAAGTTAAATCTCATTTTGCATGACTCCAAATTCTGTGCTTTTAACTATTTGATTCATCACCATGAATTGGCATAAAACCTAGGTATAGATGCTTGAGGCACAGGAATAAAGATAAGAAACCCTGAACAATGATGCCAACAAGTCAACTTTCCTGCCAGATAAAATGGATTGATGCCCAGAGCCAAGTCCATCCCTTCATGGTAACTCCAGGTCACTAGGAAATAGCAGTTGATAACCACTGCACTCCACGATCCCCTATTCAGATCTAAGAAAAATAATTTTAAACTGTAGGGAATCCTGTAGTTACTTTCTGATGTAATTAGAGCTCAGCAGTTTTATTTTTTATTTTTTAAAGGGAAACAAGCATCATATACTTCACATTTATACTTTTAAGAGCACAGTAATACTTCCCACCCCTCCCTCCATCCTTCTTATGTTTTTTCTCTTTTAGAATGACATTTTCTGTGCTTGCTTCGGTAGCACATATACTAGAATGACATATTTCCTATCTTCTTTACACTCACAAGCTTAACTACTTTGATTTTCAAAGGGCTACCTGAAATATGTTTCCATGGCCATGACATTCAAGCAAAGCAAAATTACAGTTTCAGAAAACAGGTCAACATTGCCAGGAGCTACAGAGTGAAGACGGGAGCTGACAACAAAAGGGCATGAGAGAACTTTTTAGGGAATGACAGAAATATTTATTTCATTATTGTGGTAACCTTTACATGACTATCAGCTTCTCAAAACTCACTGAATTTTACATTTGAAATTGGCAGATATTATTGCATATAAATTATACTTAAATAAAGCTTAAGTATATAGACAAATGCATACACACACACACACACACACAACTTCCATTGTGTAACTGCATTGCAGTAAACCCACCAGCCTGAATCCCTCAGTCACTCAATTTTCCCAGCAGGGAGGTTTCCTGCAGGCAATCATTGCAGGCTCATACACCACGTCCAGTGGGAAGGCGGTTCGGAAGTGAATTTGCAAGAAAACGCCTCTGTAGCAGTTCAAATATGAAGCTGATTGCAAGGGTTACCCTGGCTTCCTGCCTCCTCGCCGAATCTTCAGGGGTCATACTGTGTACTTGGTAGAAACATTCATCTGGAAAATTGCCTTCAGCCAGATTAAATATAATATTCCTGTTTTTAACCTATACCTCATATGACATACATGTCTTTATCTTTAAATCTCATTGCATTTTGAAGACCATACCTGTCTCTATGTCCAGCCCTAAAAAAGAGAGGGGCAAACCTTGCCAAAAATACTGAATATTTTACCTACCATCTGCCTCACAAATCTTGGCATAGGTTAAAACAATGAGCATTTCACAAATTCTAATATATTAGCAGTATCTATCTGTCCTTCCAGCTCCCCATCAATTGTGCCCTGCATATTCTTGTTTGTAGAGGAGCTTTTCCCCCTGATATAGCTGGTTAGTTTTTTTTTTTTTCTGGCAAAGACACCCTATGTGGGAAAGATTTGAAGGCTTCTGACCCACAGTAATGGCTTAGCTGGAAAAGGAACATCGGCCACACAAATACAGTCTAGCTTTGGAAATCATCAGATCATTCATGCAAATTAATAAGAACATAAGGTCACATCCCAAAAGATAATAGGGCAATCTTGTACAATAAAAGCTGCCAGAAAGAATAGATTCCAAAGGAAAATGGAAACTAAGAGCTAGTCTGATTTTGAATTCTTACAAAGGTTACTGATATGATCTGCTCTTAGTTGATCTGGCCACTCGTGCTTAGGATAGAGCCACTCTCTGTACCTCATAACAATGTGTGGACTATCTTATTAAGATGTTTAGCTTTTTAATCAAGAGGGTAAATAAAATGAAGACAACTTTTTCATGGGCCATTTTAATCACTTATTAAAAAGAAAGGCATACAGCATTCAAGAAATCAGTCTTATAGACTATTGCTTGAGCATCAACGGAAAGTAGACAAAGACCAAGCCATCTTTTGGAACTTAACACCTGCAAGGTTTCCAACCTGCACCATTTGACTAGAGAGCTGCAACAGCTTCCCAACAGTTCTACCATGCAAAATAACATTAACACTTCATTTTCTCACAAGTTTCAGACTTAAAGACAACAATTACACAAAAATATCAGCATGACTTAATGTAAGTCATATCTGCTTAGGGCTTTATTATATAATCAGAGATGTTAATATTTTATCACTGACATTTGGTTTTGTTAGAGCCCTGTAAATAGAACTTCATAATGAAATAAAAGAAAGTTTTTATTTACTTTTCTGTAGAAATACAGTTAAGTTGTTACAGTGAACAATGGAGAGGAATTAAGAGAAATTGCCCAGTAATTCTGATTGTAACCTTCTGCGCTGTCTTTGGAATGAAATGATAAGGTAGCAGAACCAACTGACTTATGCTGGCACACAATGAGGAGGGGAGGTCAAGTGTCTCAGCTGCAGATCCTTCTGGGATTTATGTGCGTTGTATAATTTAGTGCATCAAAAGGCCTTTCTCTAAAAAAACTCAGTGTACCAAATTTACCCATCTTCTAAATACCAAGAATCATCTTGGGTACTAATAGAAAGAAAAAGTTAGAGATGCAATTCTTTAAGGAGTTTCAATTTTAATCTGCCTAACTAAGCCCTAGGGGCCTTTCAGGCTTGGAAGAATTAGTAGGGCTGTATAGACAAAGACCAGTCATTGGGCAATCCCTCCTGTACAGAGGACACCAGAAGCCAAACTAAGTTCTCTTTATGGTCCTTCATTTCCAAAGGTCACCACACTATAGGTTTTGCTAAACACATAATGCCTCCTAAAACTCTGATAACAAAATGGAAAGACTTTATCTTAGGAAATGGATCCCAAAAGGAAGATGGCTCCTCAAAGAACATATGAAGTCAGGACAAATGTCTTATTTCTCTAATATGGTAGAGACTTGCACCTAAATACTACTAACAAAACACATTTCTAGATAATAAGGGAAGATTATTTTTGAACTATTAGTTCATTTCTCCTTTCCTCTAAACCCAAATAGTTAACCAAAGTTCCCAAAGGAAGATGAGGTAACCATTGTCATAGAGGAAAAATTTTCGGTCAAAAGATGATAGCTAATGTTCTGCACCCTTTCCTGAACCTTACGCATTGACACTGCAATCCAAAGTTGGCCCTCTTTTTCTGTGCTTGTGTTCTAGTAATAAAAAAAATCTCTTCTGTTTTGGTGTTTAGAGTGCAGGTGGCATACAGAACCCCACAAACCATGAAGGTGTTAGAAACAGATGGCTCATACTGCTTGGTAAACCAAGTGTATGTGGTGTCATTGAGCTTACTAATCACCATGCTTGAGTTGAATAAATCACCCACAATCCCTGCTTATCCACAGCTAAGTCAATATCTTGCCAAGCAACATTATCACATGAAAAATGGTTATTACAGGCAGCACCAAGGAGATTTTGAGTCTCAGCCACTGTGTTGGTGGTCAGGTTAACTCTGGCAATATTTCTGGTGTTGTACCAGTTGACATGCATGTTATTGTTGTAAACAGCTATACCACTGCCCAGCTGTAGGCAATCTGATACTCTTGAGCATAATTATACAATGGTAAACCATCCAGTGTGTTGTGGAGTGTGTAGTAATCCAACACTTTCTCATTTGTATTCAAAGGCACCACCAAGTACGGCCCCTTATCTGGGTGCTGGGGAGAATAACCCTGACATCAGGCACCAAACTTGCAGGAAAACCCGGTCTGGTTAAGCAGTTTGCTACAGAGAGTTTGCTGATGTTCAACACTACTGGGACCACAGCTCCTGATACAAATGAGAAAATAAGACATCCTTAGAGAAAAATGAATGACATGATGTAGGCAAGTTTAATAACCTAAAAACAGAAAGAATCTATAACCTGTCAGGGTTCACTGACAGCAGAAATTCAGCTGAAGAAGAGCCTAGCCTCCCATTGGTACTTATCTCAAGTGAACCCACTGTCAGTTCTGCAGAGAGCTACCTTCTGTATCCATGCATGGGTTTCCAATATGGGATGGAGGAATGATGAAACTGGAAGAACCGTATTCAAGGTATTTGACAGTTCAGAGAGAAAAGAGAGATCTGACAAAGTTAATATATTTTCCTTTATCACAAAGCATCTGTAAATTGTTATCTCACTTTACTTACAGAGAAATCAGGACATAAATAATATGCCAGAATTCTATTTCCCTTAAGCCAGAAGGTTTATTCCCCTGGGGTCAGCCACAGAAGGAACTGTGACAAAGCTAAATGTTACCCTGGCCTTCATATTGTGACTCACTCTACCATTTTCTGGGACCTCAAGTGCTTATCTGCATCAGATACCAATCTCATGCTAAGCTAAATTCAAAAGGGGAAGTTTTGGATGGAGTATTTTATGGATCTATAAAGACAGTTCTAAGATGGTGGGATTTCAGCCTGGAAAAACCATAATGTTATTTGAGGACAGTGTTGTCTGCTGTGTGCATAATGCATGACCCATCCCATAAATCACTTGATGGCCACCTTGCTGCAGAGTTACAATGCAAGACTTGCTGTTCATGAGCCATATGCTACTGAGTCATGGAACGTCAGGCATGCATTTCATCCTTCCCATTCTGTCTTGTCTTCCCAATCCTTATCTCAATGTGTAGAATCAGGTGGGGCCAGATGCACTGATCCACTGAACCTATAGTTCTTATAACACCCGGGTAAATGGTACAGGCTGAGCACCTGGCCCTTCACATTACATTGCACCCCTTCCCCACCAAATGTCAGTCAAACCAAAGAGTTTGAGCTAAAACATAAATAAAATTCCCCCAGGATTTTTATAAAAACTATCCACAAGTCCATTGTGTTTTTTTTTAATCTTCATGAAGACCACTTTAAAAAGACTGGTTGGATACTTGGCTAACAAGAAAATCCAAATTTAAGTACTTTTGAGGTCATTTCCCCCTCTCTTGCTGTCCAGGGTAAGGCAGGAGCAAGAAAGAAGGAGCAGGTAGCCTGAAGTGCTGGAAAGGAAACAGGAAGCCCTGGAGGACACATGAAGTGAGCTGGAGCCAGAAGCAGAGCTCCTCATGAGATTGGCACTCTGCGGGGTAAGGAGAGCAAAGCCTTTGTCCTTCCATTTCTGCTCCTGGAAAGCCTCAGTCTCTTCCTTGTTAAATGTTTCTCCTCTTCCTCACTCAAGGACTGTGCAGACGTAAAACTGTTACTAGAAATTTTGCCTTTATTTTTTCCAATCTGCTGGGGCTTTTTTGGTCCCCAAATAAATACGTGCTTTTTAAATGCTCTCATAAATCCACAGTTGGTGGGAAAGTCAGCCAACCATACAACAGGTAGAGAAATGAAACCATTCTGTACCCAACCTCAAATAATTTTGCATATCATTAAGCACAACACAGTGGCAGGTTTATTTTAATAATGCATGTGCCATTTCATAAATAAAAAAGCAACGTGTGTTCAGCCAAGAGACTGTTCTCCACTAAAGAAATAATAAATAGAATTATAAATTATTATTTCTTCTCCTAAAAGTGATCTCTCAGATGAATGCTTGTTTGCTTTTGTTTATGAAACAATACATGAATTATTAAAATAAAGTTAGCGGTGTGCTCAGTTTAATGACAACAAAAACTGTTCCAGTTTCCATATGCTACAAACTGGATTTTCTAGTTGAAATATCTTCCTGAGAACTTATTTATTCAACTACATTTCACTCTGAGGAAATGAAACAGAGTCACTCTTTTTTCCTCCTTCAGTTTGGAAGACAGGAATTGTTTGCTTCGTTGAATCTTCTTGCTTTTCTGGGAAGGAAATGTCCCAAACCGACAACAATAAAACATTTGGGGGAAATTTTATGGTGTATATAGCTTATTTGAGTATAATCATGACATTAATGATAATAAGCTGGTTTGTCCCCAGATGAAGAAATCTGTAGATAAGAAGATATCAACTTCTCAAAAAACCAAAATCAACTTCTCAAAAAATACTGTTACTATTGCATATTAATAGTACTTTTATTAAAAATATTAACACTTGGGATGTCTCCGTGAAGCTCAGTGGGTTAACCCATAGCTGTGATGCCAGTATCCCATATGAGCACTGCTTCAAGTCTTGACTGATCCAGCTCTCTGCTAGGGCAGAATAACCTAGCCCTGACCTTTGTGGCCACCTGGGGTGTCAGTATTGCTTCTGCAACTACTATAAAAACAGCTCATCATTTTACAATTTAATACTTAATGTTTATTCTTGATATTTATGCCAGGTACAATTTAATTTTATGGTCAACTTATGAAATGATGAGCCACTAATATTAGCAGCAGTGGTAATATTGTTATACTAATGAAAATAATATTAGTGTAAGAGTAGTAGTGATAGTAATTTTTGAGAAATTTATTTTGGTTCCTTCATGCCTAAATATTTTCTCACCTAGAGGTATAATATATTACTATCTTTAATCCCATGATGATGCCTAAATAAGTTATACACATTATAAATTTTCCCCATGTTCCAAGCATAGAGCGGGGGGGAGGGGTGAGGGGAAGTGTATTTCACAAAACCCATTACATAATATCTGAGCAAACAGGACAGTGTGATGCTTCTAACTATAAAATAATGACAAAGAGAAGGAAATGTTAATCCCCCTCTGTCAATACATAAATATTGCAACGTCACACTGTATCCTATAAATATGTACAGTTACTGTTGGTCAATTTTTTTAATGTTTGAGGAGATGGAAATGCTAACTTGATTTGATCTTCACATGTTGGATACCCGTGTTGAATTATCATAATGTACTGCATAAATACAGTTGCTGAAGAACTATACTACCATAATAATATGGAAGGAAACAGTATGGGGGAGTAGGGATGGGGAAGGATGTAAAGGGAAATCCCTGTGCCTATGGAATTGTATCATGAAAAATAAAGGAGTGTGTATCCTAGCAGCTTACACCTTGAATGGGATGCCTTGTTCCTGTATTAGCTTTTCGATCATGCAAGTCTTGGGAGGCAGTGACTAAGGCTCAAGTGCCTGGCTTTCTGCCACCCATGTGAAAGATCTAGGTGGAACCTGCTGGCCCAAGCCTAGCCACTGCAGCCATTTGAAGCGTGTGCTACTGAATGAGAGCTTTCTCTGAGTGCCTTTTTTTTTTCTGTCTTTCTCCCTCTCTCCATATGTATATGTGTACACACATACAACTGGCTCTCAAATCACTAAATCAAACAAACAAAAAACTGGTAGGCAATAAACTTCTTTACTCACCCGCTGTGCCTTACCAACTATTCCTAAACACCCTTCTATCCATTTTACTCCTCCCTTCTTTCTGTATCCCCTTTAGGCCATTTTTAGGGTCCTGATTGAGACTAAATGGAAGTGGGAATAGGCACAAGACCCAAGAGTGGCAGCCAGTGCCATAGCTGAAACCACAACAGTGACAGCATAATGAAAAGCAAAGGCGGCATCCTCAACCCCTGATAGCAAACAATCACAGAAACCAAACTGAGTCCCCATTGCCCTGACTCCAATGACCCTGAGCTTCTCCCCACCCTTCTCCTCACATTGCTCTCCAGCCCCTCCCTTCACTTAATGTTTCAGTCATACTCCATTCCATTCCTACCCAGATCTCATCCCAACTTAACCCCAACACTTGGGCAATAGCCTACTGCCCAGTCATGGCCCATGCAGGCGGAAGCACCAATGAATCATTTTATATTTTTCAGGTGGAAGAGAACACAGCTGAAAATTCTCAACAGGGAAGATCAGCAAAAGTATCTGTTGAGATACTCTGCAAGCAAGAATGCAAAGATAATTTGGTGCTAATCAGGTAGGTAAACTATTGAGGCTCTTGTCACTCCAGAAATAACAGGTGCATCTCTTTGTTGTAACACTTATAGAGGCAGCAGTGCACAGTGAAAAAAAACAGGCAGATTCCAATTCAAATCCTGACCTCAGTACTTAGTAGTTGTATACCTTTGAGCATGTTACTTAACCTTCTGAGCCTTGGTTTCCTCTCACTGAATGAAAAATAATACCTCCTCTGCAAGATGGTTAAGGAGGAAGACAAAGAAGGCATGCAACTGAATTGCATACCAGGTTACTGTCACCATCAGAATCACAACTGGAGACCTACATGATTTTCTCCCTTCCTAGATCATGGCCTCAGGAAATTTCAATATCCACCCTGGTAACCCCAATACCCAGAACACAGTGAGCCATACAGCAGTACCAAATTACATTTGTGGGATACATGAACAAAAGACAAATCACATAGACCCGCTTCATCCATATTTATAAAGTACCAACATTCCAACCTGCTACAAAGCTGAGTTTTCAAGAAACCCAGTATTGACCCCATCGGAAATAATGCAAGGAACCCTGCATGCAGCTGTAGCCTTCATCATGCAATGCTTGTCAGATATTGCCATGCATTCTAAAGAAACTGCAATTGTGAGAGTTTAAAAATTCCAACTTGGCTCTTCAAAACTGTGGTTGCTAGCAGTATTTTTTTGAAGCTAAAAATTATATGATTGCAGAGGAAGCTTAATCTTGGACCTATCAATGTGCTTTGATATGAGCCACTGAAATTTATTGGAGACAAGAGGCAAATATGACTGGTTTATAAGAACTGGACAAGCAAAGGGAAGTTTTTAGGCTAGCAGTTAAGACACCCATATCCCATGTAAGAGGGTTTGGGTCTCATTCTTGGCTCTGGTTCCCGACTCCACCTTGCCACCAATGCAGACCTTGGAGGCAGGAGTAATAGCACAAGGAACTTGGTTTCTGCCACTCATGTGGCAGACCTGGCCTTTGCTCCATGGGCCTGGCTTCAGTCCCAGAGGTTGAAAGTATTTATGGAGTGAAGTAAACCAGCTCTCGTTCACACGTGTTCTTTCTCGAAACATATATACGTATGTGTATATATCTCAAACACAAGCTTTAAAAATTTTCATAGATGATCATAATCACAAAATGATTAAGACTAACTTGACTTTGAATTACTGGATATATGCCACTCAGCCAGGCTCTTCTCTAACGCTTGGGATTTTAGCAGATTACTCTGTCTTTCATACACCATTCAATTGCCAATCCTTCACCGAGTACCTACCCTGCACCAGCACAGACCTCAGCATCCAAAGCAAAACAGTGTGCAACCCTGAGAGTTCCCATTACACTTTTTGCTTTTATGTGGTCATTTAGATTCAGGGGAAAAAACTGAGACTGAGACTGAAATCAATTGTTTCAGGGGAAAAAAGTTAATCAGTAGAAGTCCAATTATTTTAGGTTAGAAAGTTTACAAATGGAGCATAAAAAGAGGATGTGATTTGCAGCGAAAATCAAGTATAGAGTACGTTCTATTGAAGCCCATGTACTGGTTGTATGTTCATGCTGACCATGGGGTTAGCAAACTGCAGCCACCAGAGAGGGGCTCAGAAAGCGCAGAATTACTTTTCAGCTGAGATACACAGGCAGTCGTTTTGGTTCTGAGCAACTCTGCAGTGAAAAAAAGCAGACAGGCCAGATTTTAAAGTCCCATAATAGTGAGTAACTTGAAGTAAAGTCTCCACAGGCTCACAGCTCTGCAGTGCCTGGGAGTTTTCCAATTCTGCATTACCAACCAAAAGGGAGCAAGTGAAATTGATTTAAAAACATGACAAAAAGTCCGTTTAATATAAACATCATAAATATAATATGAACAAAGCTGGAAAAGGGCCAAATGGCTTGGCTGGAATCCAGGTACAGCCAAGGTTGTGGGAAGGTAAGTGGAAAACTGGGTCCATTTGCTGAAACAACACAGCTGGGCTGGGAGGGCTCATAGAAGTCTAAGTGTGAAGTCTTAGGGGGAAAGTTCTGAAAAAATTTTTTAACAAAAGAAATCCAACAAACTCACTTGTTTTCCTCCCTTGATACAAAGTAATGTGTTTAAGCCCTCAACATCAGCCCTGGGTCATTGACACCTGACACTGGAGGTCCTATGATATCCAGGAAGTGAGGCTCCCTGCAAATCAGCTTCAGTTCTGTCCTTAAGTACCTGTGTGGCCTCAGGAAAAGCAGCATCTGATACATGGTGGGGCCAAGCTAGATGAAGTACATGTTCCTTGTTATTCTAACATATCCTCTTCCAAAGGTTGCATAAAAAAACAGAGCAACAAAAAAATCGACTCCATGAGGCAGGTTTGCCAAGAGGGTGACCAGGGGACACTGGCATCAGCTGTGTTCAGGTTGGCATCACAGTGACCCCTGCCTCGAGAGTCCACTGGGGCCCTGCAGAAGCAGATTTCATTTGCACAGCGTTTCCATCACTAATCCTAGACCCCACTTAGCTTGAGTCCGTGACAGGGGAAAGACCTGATCTTTGCCCTGAAACTCCTGTGGGTGTCACAGAAGGACAGATTCCCAACCACGGAAGCCATTCACATCCCTAGATAATCATGGTCTAAAAGGAAACAGGTTGTGTGGCTTAGAATCAAAAGGAGTTAACAATGGCTGCACACGATACAGCTCCCATTCAGACTCTACAGAGCTTCCTAGGGCATGGGGGTGTTGCTAACCGATAGGGCTGAGTGAGCAGCAAGCAACTTAGAGTTCCTCTGCCTGAAGGGAATTTGAGTGCATTTCAGGACCCAGGACTCAGCCCTGAACTTATTCACAGTGAGGTTGGTTCCCACCACCATGATCATCAGCGCTATTAATGTCCACTGCCTGCACCACAGCGCCTGCGCAGAACTCAGCTTGCCAAGCCTTGCCTCTAATGCCCACAGTAACCCAGAAAGGTAGATGCTATTTGTCTCCAACTTTACAAATGAGAAGATTGAGGACCTTTTTCTGATCATGGCCCCATTTCTGGCAGGGCCAGGTCTGTGGGATTTCAAAGCTTTCTTCTTGAAACCATCACTCTGCTGATTCCACTCACGTGTGTGTTTACCAAGTGCCCATCTCTGTGCACTTAACCCTACCAAGGGTGGGTTCGAGGGTGAGATGTCATCCTTGCCTCCAAGAACTCACAGTCCAGCAGAAGCAGCAAAGCATACCTGCATATGCCACCAATAGGCAGGGTTGCCTCAGTTACCCTCATCAAATCCCAAGAGACACAATACAACAGGTGCCCTGTAAGCATCTAAAGCATGGATAGAGAAAAAAAAAATCAAAGAGGGGGAAAGGGAGGGAAGGAAAAAGGGAGGACAGGAGTGTTTATGCTCTAAACCCAGCTCACCTTGTCCCTCAGCCAACCAGCCATCACAGCCATGGGGGAAGTGGATACTGGGATTCCAGAGGATTTTCACGGACTCCCCAACAGCTTCTCCATTATCACAGAGATGTTGCTGTTTGTGAATGCAAAGACAGAACATGTAACTTGTGGGTTTTGTTATAACTTGATCCATTGTTTGTGCTCTCCCATTGTGAACCCCAGAATACAATAGCATGTAGAACCCCTCCGTGGGATTTAAAACATGAAAGATTCAACTCAGAACAGCCAAAATCCCTTTTTCTCCTTGGGCACTGCAGTTCCACAGCCCTTCCCCCACCTCACTCACAGCTCCTTAGGGGGAAGGGGGTCTGCTCACCTGGAGTAGAGGAGGGGGCAGTGGCAGGAGGATTTGCCACACTCCTCTGGCTTCTTCTTCAGGGCCTGGATTTTCAGGCAAATGACAGGCAAGTTGTTTGTGTGGCTCGTCTGCAGTTTCTCTACCAGGAGAATCATATTCCTTATCTAAGGAAATAAAAATTCAGAGTGACTTTATATTATTGTGCAATTTCTTTCATAAACATTCCAGGGCTGAATGTGTCACTTAGTGAAACATTGCTACAGAATACACCCGAGATTCTTCTGAATGGTTTCATTTGGAAGAATACATTTTACGGTTTAGCGTGAATGCCTGTCAGATCTCAGCCAGATGCGTGTGACAAGAAGAAAATGGCAAAGATTTTAACAGCTTTAATAATAGAGCAGAGATTCACTCCAGGCATCCACAAATGTCCATTAAAGTTCATTTCTAATAACCTTCTCCTATAAACTCATGTTTACTCATGTTGTATTCTAATTAAGTTTCTAATGAATAGTGAAGGCCAGAGAAAACTCAAATTCTAAAATACGGAACTGGAATTCTCAATGATAGTCCATGTCATGACTGTGCTAGTAAATTCTCGTTGATATAAATTACCCAGCTGTAACATTCATGTGATGGTCTTTATCCACAGATCTTAAAAGGTTTCACTGAAATACATTCATAAGACATGTCCTGAAGGAGGTCTCCAGTCTGTGCAGGAAAATTCCCGCAAGAGTCAGGGGTTATCTCATCATTCAGAACCAGAGAGAAGAGATCACACAAGTCCACAGTCAGGAAAACTGGGGGCTTCTGTACCCGTAAGGATAAATTCAGGGCAGAGCAGATATCTGGGTAAGGTGGGCCATGGGGAGTTGTTCGGCTGTGTGTCTTTTGTAACAAGAGTCAAAGGCCACTTGGTTCAGGATCAGATTCTCACCATCAGCTGATGCTTGCTCATCAGTCAACCTTCTTTTCCAAGGTAGGCGTCCATCCCAATAGAAACACAGACTGCATCATGTGGTATTAAAAGTACAGAATTAGAAATAGGGAGAGAGACTTCTATCCCATTCCTAGCACTTAATCCTGGGAGAGAATTTATGGCTTCCTGAGAGGCCAGTTCATTCCATACCTCCACCTCCAGCTGCTTAACCATGTGTTTTCTTCCCACCTTCCTTCCATCTCCTTCATCACTATCTTAATCAGCTCAAAGTCTAGTTCAGTCTATGAAACGGCATCCTTTTCCATGATCTGCATCGGGACAGTTAGGTTGAAGGGTTTATTTTCCTATGCAATGATTAACTGGACATATCCCTTCACCTGCAGGTACATCAAAAGGCTTCAGTCAATTCACAGAGTAGCACTACACAACCTTCCTCCATGAAAAACTGCTAGCAGTTACTGTTTCGTATACATCAATTTATTTTTTATATAAAGCAATGTTTTGAAATCTATCCAAATATAGACTAAAAGAACATATCGCTACTCTGGGGAAATGGAGTGAATTTTATACTTACTTAGACTAACAATTTTGCCTTAGAATTATCATTTGAAAATATATTTTAATATCCACTTTAATGTTTGGAGACATTAAGTTCCAAAACTAAAGTGATAGGAATCAGGCCCCAGTGATATTCCTCCTCCTCTCCATACGCTTGCTCTAAATCACGGCGTCTCACCTTCTGCACTAACAGTATTGGGGACGGGATGGTTCTTTCTTGCGGGATGAGTGGGTGGGGCGGGGGTTATGCTGTGTATCATAGGATAGTCAGCAGCTCTAGATGCCTGTTCCTGCTCCTCACCTCTAGTTGTGACAAATGCCTCCAGATATGGCCAGATGTGCTCTGGAGACAAAGTCACTGTTACCAGAACCTTCACTCTGATTTCCAGGAGAGAAATGCACTATATTTCTCCTTTGATAATCACACACAATGAGTTTGATCTCTCTGCCTTTTAAAAAAGTGGCATAAAAACCCAACCTACTACACAATATATGAGTGTATGTGCAACTGTAAAAGTACACATTTCATTAAGTATGCTCACATTTATTCCAAGAACTGATTATTGCAATCAGACCTTTAAATTACACATTTGTTGCATATATTTGAATGTCTGATCATTAAGTTAAAATACTTCCAAAAATTCCCTTGGTGGTTTGGTGTATAATTGGAATCTCCAAATGGATATTTGAATAAACAGTTGGTGGTACTTTCTGTATCTGATCTCTGAAAGAAATGCCACAGCTTTTTTAAGGACTGTCTCATTAAAAGTTGCTAGGCTTACATTCCTTTTCAAAAATGTGAACCTACGTGATACTTTTCTCCAAACTGCAGTAATGTCAAGTAGCTGATCCACAGTGCTGAGATGAAATCAGAGCCAGTTGTTGGCTTCTAAGCCTTCTAATACCAAAGGCAGCTTTAACTTCTGTCATTTTAGCCCTTCCACTTAACCTCTCTGTGCAAATTAGAGGAGACTCAAAGGCCACAGACCCAAAGGGCTAGGGCTTCAGGCAAACAGGGTTTTAATGAAAGTTGAAAATGCAGCCCTCACCACTGTGGATGTATCTCCTCAGGCAACAGACGGTCACTGCCATCAAATACACCATCACTCAGGCCAGACATGGAAGGGGACATTTTGGTAGATGAAGCAGCTTAAAAAAATTTTATTCATACACATATAATCTATCAGATAATTCACATATACATACATGTATAATTAACAAGCACATTTACAAACACATTTACAAAGATACATTGCACATACATACATACACCTACAAGGAATTTTCAAAATGTTCATGGAAAATGCATATTATGAAAAAAACAAGATGCATGGATTTAAAATTTACTTCATTATGAACTTTCTCATAGACCCTCAAAACCTATCCCCCTCAAAAGTACACACACAGACACCAAGCAGCCAGGTTTACGTTTCCACAAAAACTAGGCATAAAATCTTGCCTATGTGTTTTTTCAAGTGCCAACCTATTGCAGAAAGGAAAGTTTGAGGAATGAATATGCTTGTTGGCATTTGGCCCTTGCCAGCTCTTGGAACAAATGAAATACTCTCAGCTTTCCTGGAACATTGTGGTGGCACATCGCAGCTGTTGTTCTACAAAAATGAGCGATTCCATTGTCACTGCTGCTCCATCCGCACCGAAAGCCAAGGCAGAGCCTGGAATTTGCTCCCCAGTGCTGTGTGCCTGCACCAGCCCAGCCACAAAAACAAGGAAATCTTTGAGGGAAATCACCCAGGGGACCCTGCAGCTGATGTCAAAAAAAAAAAAAGCAGCAACAATTCAGTGGTATTCAGGAAAACTGGAGTCACCCATATATTTGTAGAAGGCGGGAGAGAATCTGAGGATGGGCCAGAACAGCGCACAGATGACGAGTTTAAACAGAGAGCTTGTGGAGACCTTTCACACGGGTGCATATGCCCCGGGAAGCTGACATGGACAATTCAGAGAACATGCTAGATCTTCCTGGAAGGCCCATTCTCACAAGGGCAGCTCAGCTTGCCCCTGCTAGGCACTTGGTGCATTTCTCCCTTTTCCAGAGAATACTTAGCTGTAATACCATGGTTTTCAACAAGAAGGGGAGGTGGTTTCGTGCCCAGGGAGCATCTAGCAGTATCAGGAGACATTGTTCACTGTCTCTCCTGGGGATGGGAAGAGTGCTATTGGCCTCTAGTGGTCAGGGATACTGTGAAACATTCTAGCAAGTGGACAGGGCTCACCCTGAGAGCATGCAGAGCTGCATCAACATTTCCACCTCTGAGTCCATCATTGCTACAGGTTGGAGCAATAGGAGACTCACCTTCAGATCAGCAACCTAATGGTCAGAACCTTTACTTTGTTTTGTTGGTTATGTACTTAGTTTGAGATGTAGTTTTACATGTAATTCACTGAGTGCTTTATGTCATGGATGAAGAATCCCAGGTTCTTTTCTAGCAGCTGCTATATCCCTTACAGTAAATGCGATTTGATAATAAAGGTGTGGCAGAGCTCGGTGTAGTACAGATGGTTAGGTCCATGTTTCTGCAGGAGCCCCAAGATCCATGATTTAAACTAAGGCCAGGTTATCTGGAATCAGTAAGTGTACTTTGTAACACACTTATTTTCAATATCTATTTTCGAATATTAACTGCAATAAGGTTCATTGAGCCTGAAGGGAACATCAACACATGAAGCACTTTGGCACTAGATGCTCCTAAGCTTAACTCTACTTTGGTACTTAATGGGCAAACCATTTAATTTCTCTAAACCTTAGTTTCCTCCTAAAACTGGAGATAATGGCATCAAGCTTGCAAGATCATTTTGAAGACTAGAGTTAATGCGCATTAAGTGCCTAGCTAATGGAAGCCCTATAAATTACAAAAATTAATAGAAAACAAGTGATTTCAGTGTTTTTCAATCTGACCTTTCAATTTATTATATTTCACTGCACAAAACATTGCTCAATCAATGTTGTTTGTTTATGGGTTGTTGAAATGTCTCCCAGGCTCCCTCAACCTTCTCATGCATGAAGATCTATTAGCCAATGTGTCATATTAAATAACTTGCCCCAAGACCATAAACCTGCAGACAAAGAGAGAATCCCAAGCTGCCTCATGTGCTGCCCTATCCTGAGTAGTCACAAAAAGACATGTCGTAAACAACAGAGAATTACACAGTGCTTTCAGTGCTTTTCACAGTGCTTCTTATGCAGAGGCAGCTTCCTGTCTTCTCTGTGAACCGAGGAATCATGAATCAACGCACGGCAGTCAAAACTCCTTTTACTGGCCTGCCCCCAATGGCCATTTCCCCAGGTCCCTAGATAAATGTTGATCTCCAAGGCATCCTAGGGACAGTGATAATAATTCACCTGGGAATTCAAAAGCCTCAGCTAAAGAGGTAACTTTGGACTTGAAGGTACTGCTGACCTACTGCATCTCTTCACGGAGCTGCTCCGAGCATGATAACAGCATGCCTGAGATGAAAGAGCCGGGAGGATTCCAAAGATCCAAATCATCCCAGCTGACTTAGCCAGCCCAGAGAGGGAAGATCACGGGCAAGTCCTTTTCCCTTTATGCACCTCAGTTTTTTGCACCTGAAATGGGAGGGTGATCTATCTGCCCTAAACAGCTTGCTTGAAAGGAGAAGAGAACTGAATGCACTTGGAAAAAGACACACGAAACCTGATGGTATTATTATGGTTATTATTAGCACCTGCTACACCAAAGCAATTCTGTAAGTGCCAGCTGGCAGGTAAACTCCTTTCTTAGGCCTCAGTCTCTAATTATTTCAGGACCAGTTACTGACACCTTCAGAACTCAAAGTTTTCCCACCTTTTCTGCACTACTTCATTGCCAGCTATTTGCAAAGCAGATGCCACCTGCACCCTCTCAGGCCTCCACATCCCCAAGCCCAATCTCACTCCCACCACCTTACAGGACTGAAATTAAATGTCCCATATTCATAAACCTGGCAAGCTGCAGGCTCTCCCTGGAGCAGCAGGAGGTTTCATGCTGCCCTTCAAACCCCTGGCAGCAAAGACGACATGTAAATCAGGAGCTTCCACTATTTCAAAGCAAATGACTAACTGAACAGATCTTTACCTAGGATTTTCCTCTACTTGTTATGTTTTTATGCATAACTTCTTATCTGTACTTGATTATGCTGGAATAAGGCTATGAATATTAATGGTTGGAATTTATAATTTAATGCTGTGCTTTTTCTGCTGATTAATTCAAGGGCATTTTATTTTGAAGAACCTAGGTTACTGGAGTAGTCAAACACATTTTTTTGGACATTCATTTAAACTTGGGATATTTAGCTACCAATTCAGGTTGAAAGCAAAGTCTCAGTTTCATCATTGGTTTTTGTCTGAAAGAATAACTACATTGGATGTTGAGGTGGTTAAGCTTAAATTTCTCAAGAAAATTTATTTTGAATCTTGCAGTCAAGCCAGAGCTCCTTGTCAATTAATGGAGCTGTATTAAATAATGCATAATGTGATTATAGCCTAGCTTGGGCTTCACCTGGGTAGAAAATGGGAGCATTTCTAATTGATTTTTTTAATTTGAACAAAAAGGTGGAAGGGGTCAAAACCGAATGCCAACTCACATCACTCCAGTACACACAGAGAAAGTCAGACCTTTAGGACAACCTCCTCTGGATGGTGAAAAGCAGAGAGCAGAGGGCTTGAGGCAGGGATTTTGCGAAGGCTGAGAGAGCTATTAGTCTGCATTTAAAATATCAGAGAAGCCTTCAAGGTTGGTCTAAAGCTAAACTGGTCTAATAAAATGGTTTTGCTGAGACAATAAAAGCTAACTACCAAGACAAAATAAGGAAAAAAGGGAGAGCTAATTCAAAACAAGAGGAGAACAAGAGAAAGAAGATGAAGGGCATATTTGGGAAGTGCAGGAAGAACCATCTGATAAAAAGGGAAACAACAGCAACAGAGAAAGTTTAAAAATGGATGGAGAGACTGAAAGGTGTGTGGGGACAACAATGAATCAAAGGAATCAGAAATGAAATAGAAAGGAAAAGGTATAAAAGAAAGAACACAAAACAATTAATGAGGATGGAGAAGAGGAAAGGAAATAAAGCAAAGTTGCACGCATAAACTCAAAGACCAAAAGGAAAAAGAAACAAAGTGAAAATGGCAGGGCTGGGGCCCACAGGGAGAACTTGGGCCATGGGTACCATAACACAGTGAGTTTATCTATGAAGATGGCAACCTAGATCCCATCTGCATCCTCTGCTCTTATTTTCCCAGCTCTGCAGAACTTCACAGATGGACAGTGAACTGAAAACTAAAGCTTCTTGGGGCATAAACTCACAGTCCATGTTACGGTGCTGCTTATAAAATCCTGAACTCTAAAAAGTTTTCATGCTTGCTTACTCCTACCAAGATGATAATGGAAACAAAAATGCTTACTTTAGAAAGCACTTTCTCAAACTTCTTGGAGAAGATATGAGCTGCGAATTTCAAACATTCCACTCTATCCACAGGGAAGACAGTATCTGGCAGGGAAATGGCATTGGCAGGTGCCTTGGCTATCCATGGAGCCCATAAAATTGGAAAATGACTGTAAAAATAAATAAGTTGAACATCAGTGATAATCTGAAAAATGAGCTCCTTGGCAACTGAAATTACAGAAACTGGCTTGTCAAAAGAGTGCTCAGAGGCAAGCAAGCACAGTCCAGGAATGAACAGAATCACAGAAACATGCTCACATGGCTGTCCTCACACAAGGTCTTCAAACGCATCTCCACCTGCCGGATGAATCCACAAGGTCCACAGCCCAGAATGAGAGGAAGGTTCTCCACTCTTGAAAAGCCTTAAAGGAAATAATTATTGTCTCTACGCAAGGTAAACAAAGAACCCTCGGTGTGGCTTCAATCCCACCACTTTGTAGACATGAAGTCCTATTACCATTCAGTTTCCTTACCTGTGAAATAGAGAATCCACTTCAAAGGGCTGTCCTTGGGATACAGCAAGGACTGTGAGCATCTGGTAGGTGACCAGACATTATCATGTTCTTTCCTTCTATTCCTCATTTTGTTTTATTCACCTTCATCCTAATCCCAGGCCAATACTGTCCAACTATAATGAAGAAACTATGAAGGATGAGGACCACAAGGAAAAATAGTACAATCTTATAGCCTTCCTTCTTGTGGGAAAGTATGTTATCATTATCCTTCGAAATGACAATAACCTAGCCATTTGTCAAAAACTGAACAGAATATGAGTTTGTAGGTTTTGTGCAAAAAAACTTTTTAAAGATTTATTTATTTTTATTACAAAGTCAGATATACAGAGAGAAGGAGAGACAGAGAGGAAAGGAAGATCATCTGTCCAATGATTCACTCCCCAAGTGACCACAACGGCCAATGCTATGCTGATCCAAAGCCAGGAACCAGGAACCTCTTCCAGTCTCCCACGCGGGTGCAGGGTTCCAAAGCCCTGGACCGTCCTCGACTGCTTTCCCAAGCCACAAGCAGGGAGTCGGATGGGAAATTGAGCTGCTGGGATTAGAACCGGCACCAATATGGGATCCTGGTGCGTTCAAAGTGAGGACTTAAGCCGCTAGGCCATGGCGCCAGGCCCACAAAATTTTTTAAATAAAAGTTTTCTAGCTTGCCACTTGTAGAAGTCATTTAAAAAATATTTGATGTTTCTTTTAAGATATTCGGGCTCACACTTTGGTGCTACTGCATATTTTAAAATGACAGATTTGAAAGATCCAGTTTATCCTCTTGTCCCCTTTGAACTATCCCAAGGGGACCCTAGCACAATTGACATTTTTTTTTTTTATTACTACTGTTGCCTTCCAGAGTAACTCCTGCCAGCAGACTGGCCGTGCCTTTTAATTATCCATCTGAAGACCACCCAAAGCTCACATGTGGAGCATCAACCTGGAGGGACTCTGTATGAAACTACTAAGGAGACAGCAATGACTTTCAGAGTCTAAGGAGACTCAGGCCACAGCTCAAAGCTCAAACCAACTGGTGGCAGCTGAGGTTGTACACTCTGTGCCTTCATGCATCCATCAAGAGCTACCTCATTGGTGACCTTGCAGCCAATGAAGGTTTCTACATCAAGTTGTTTCAAAACATTTGATCTCAGGGGCCAGTACTAAGGTGTAGCAAATTAAGCTGCTGCCTGTGATGCTATCATACCAAATAAGCACGGGTTCTGTTCTCCACTGCTCTGCTTCCAATCCAGTTCCCTGCTAATGTACCTGGGAAAGCATCAGAGGATGGCCCAAGTGCTTGGGCCCCTGATACCCACATGGGAGATCCACATAGGGTTCCTGGTTACTGATTTTGTCCAGGTTCAGCTGCAGCCTTTGCCACCATTGGGGGAGTGAACCGGCAGACAGAAGATCTTTCTCTGTGTGTCCTTGTCTTCTTGTAATGCAAAAGTTCAATAAATAAAATTAATTTTAACAAATAAAAATTAGGGCCCAGCACAGTAGCCTAGCAGCTAAAGTCCTCGTCTTACATGTGCCAGGATCCCATTTGGGTGCTGGTTCTAATCCCAGCAGCTCCACTTCCCATCCAGCTCCCTGCTTGTGGCTTGGGAAAGCAGTCCAGCATGGCCCAAAGCCTTGGGACCTTACACCTGCATGGGAAACTCGGAAGAGGCTCTGGGCTCCTGGCTTCGGATTGGCACAGCTCTGGCTGTTGTGGTCAGTTGGGGGTGAATCAGCAGATGGAGGATCTTCCTCTCCGTCTCTTCTCCTCTCTGTATATCTGACTTTCCAATGAAAATAAATCTTAAATAAAAATTTTTAAAAGAAATATTATATAAACCATTTAAAAATGAACAGAAAGAAAAATATATACAAGTGTACCCACATATTTCTATCTCAGGTAAGTTCCTGATATTGCCCTCCATGTTCTTTTCCAATCACATCCCACACCTGCAGAAATTGGGGAGCTAGAAGGAAGGATAAGCAGGCTTATGCTAAACATGAAGAGATGAAGGATCTTTGCCAGGAATGAACAAAGACAGGATAAGACACACCATGAGCATATCAGAAAGGCTGGCTTCTCCTGACATCATTTCTATCTACCACTCTTCAAAGATAATGACTCCAGCTCAACGTGGGCATTCTGGCACAACTTGTTAAGCCACTGCCTGAGAAGCCTGTATTCCCTTTCAAAGGGTCAGCTGAGTCCCAGCTGCTCCACTTCTGACCCAGCATCCTGCTTATGCACCTGCAAAGACAGGGAAGATGACCCAAATACTCCTGACCCTGCCATGCAGGGAACCTAGATGGAGTTTCAGCTACCTGGCTTTGACTCGGCCCAGCCTGGCTGCTGTGGCAATTTGGAAAGTAAACTGGATGATGGAAATGCTGTCTGTTTTCTTTGTGTCTTTGTCTCTCACTTTGTTTCCCCCCTTGCTGTCATTCTGCCTTTCAAATAAATAAATCTTTATACAAAGTATAAAAAAAGATTCCAGCTCAAGCATGCCAAAACTTTCACAGGAAGGACCAACATACCGGTTGTTTTTTTTTTTAAGAAATAGATTATAATAACTGTCTAGCAAAAAAAAAATCTTGTATTGCATTTTGACAAGGAGAGGTTAATTAGCTGCACAAGACATTCTTAGAATTCTCTGAAAAGCTCTGTCAACTCAAGATACCATGGATATCATAAGCAGTCTCTAGACAATCCACCAAGATCGACTAGCTAACAACTTTTAGTCCTGAAGTTCACCTGAAAGACAGGCAGATAATTATAAACCCTACTGACAGCCGTTCCCCTGGTTCTTACTGAACGTTCCTGTCCCAACACTATGGACAACCCAGCTTCCATTCTGCTTATCATCAGCTCTGTGTGCTCAGCTCACATCAAAATGGTCCATAAGTTTGATCAGTGTGTCCCATTAGAGATATTTCTGCTTCTTGCATTCAAAGACAATGAAGCTAATGGTGATGAGTCTCTCTCTGTGGTGAATGTTTAAACTCCACGAGAGAGTAATCTGGGCAAGGAGAGACAAAGACAACCACTTGCCTCATTGGCTTGTGGAAGGACATGTGATTGTTGAAGCAAATAGGGCCCTGTGTACCTCGTAAGACTCCCCTCCCCGCACACTGCTGGGTTCTCACCCAGCACATGTTCAATTAGCATTCACTGATGTCTCCAACACATCAGGCTCTGGTAGTTCAGGGATGAGTGGAACCCAGTTTCTGCTCAGAAATCAGACCCTCTGTCATTATGTAAAGGACTGGTGGGTTTTTTTTTTTCTCCAACCAGCCCCAGCGCTTGATGACAAAAGCACCTGACTCATTATGGCACTTACCGTGGGCAGTAGAGCTTAGAGGCGCTCTGTTAGGTGTGACAAGAGGACCTGTGATGGCCCCTACTTCACAGGGCATCATCTGAGGCATACGCAGTGGTCTGAGCACTACAGCAGAAGGTGCCACTCGTATCTGTGATTTAAGGTTGCATTTGGCTCTAATTAGCAGCCAAGTCTAAGTGCCTGCAAGATTCAAGGCATAAAATAATGGTACTCAACATTTTCAAAGTACAGAAAATGATACGTTTGGAACTTGCTCAATGACAGTTATAAAAGGGTTTTCCACTACTTTCCAAAGAGCTCATCAAACTGACAGCCAGCCCCAGAAAATTAGGCTTGGAGTGAAGCCGACACCTAGTCCAGCATGAGAGGTTGGAGTTGTAATACTGATTCACCAGAGGGAGATGAGTAAACTGGAAAGGAAACAGAAATTTCTAAGTACAGCTTATTTCTTATCTACTTTTAAATATTTGTCTCCTTCTAGACAATAGGGATTTTGAATTTCTTTGTTTCTTGATCCATATTTTATCTGCTGTTATTTTAGCTGAGAAAATTACCCAATTGTTGGTTTCTGATTAGTGATGAACTTTCGTAATAAATTACTGTTGTTCAATGCACTTCAAAAAAACATTCTGACCAATTCTAATCATCCCCAGAAATTATTTAATACCATGGAAGAAAATTATGCAGCTAATTTCTGACTACAAAGAATCCTGGTGCATATTCATGATCCCTAAAATTTTCTCCTCTTAAAAACAAGTAAGCTTCAGCTCTGCTTTCTGGAAATGTAGAAAACTTTACATGGAAGGTAGACAAATCTTGAGCCACAGAATTTACTAGCACCATGACTTCTGGGCAACGACTTCACCTCACTAGGCCTAAAACCCCACAAATGGAACCAGTGATTTTACCTACCTCTTGTAGCTAAGTAAGTGAACATGTATCATGGATTTTAACCTGGGATTGGCATTGATCAGGCACACAGCACTGTTGCTGCTGTGCCCCTATCCAAACCATTTTTGCTGTCTTGATAGCCCTGGTGGGGAAAATGAAAACAAAAGAACAAAAGTCTTTTCCTTCCCTTCTCCCATTCACCTCTCCATATACGTATAAGCAGCTAACTGATTCATGAAGAAAGATTCAGGACAGAAGGGTATGCACGGCCTACGAGGGTTGGCAGTGCAAGGCTGCCCTGGAAAGTCCCAGAGGTAAAGTGAGTAGTTGTGTCTCGCAGCTAATCTCTCTCCATGCCTATTCTCTTTTCTTTAATGAGATCCAAAGGGGATGCATCCCGGGGAGCCAAGCTTGTTGTGCTTCCAGAGAGATGGCCTGGCCCGTCCAGGCATAGTGTGTGGTATTCCTGTCTGTTTGGAACTAGAAATGCCCTCCAAGATTCCCTGCAAAGAAAACTGAAAAGACCTCACATGACTAAGAAAGTGTACCTATAGAACAGCACTTTGCTAAGACTCTCCCCCTGCCTTCTTTCATTCTTCTCTATAACCCAGGTATAAAGAGACTACCAGGACTGCAGCTGGAGCATCCTGGCCCTCACTCCCCTGGGGCCATGACCCAGAGTTTGTAGGGTCCCTTCTGAGCAGCAAATCAATAGGGGCAAATGCTACCAAAGCTGCAGCGTATCCTCCCGTAAAGTTCCCATCCTGATCTGATTCTAGAATTTTAGAAATCACTAACTCAAGGGACATTTCATACAGCAGGTAAATCATCACTTGGGTTGGCAGTCCCTTACATCAGAATCCTTGCATTAGTCCCAGCTCCACTTCTGACCTTCATTCCTGCTAATGTGTACCCTTAGGAGTAGCAGATATTATTAACTGAAGAAGTTAGGACCCCGCCTAGAAGTTAGGATTAAGTTCCAGGCTCCTGATTTCAGCCCGGCCCAACCCTGGTAGCTGTGAACATTTGGGGAAGCATGTAGACAGAAGACCTCTTATTTCCCTTCCTCCCCCATCCCCTCTCTGTGTTTCAAAGTAAATCAATGACTTAAAAATTTTCTTTAAAAAGTACAAGAGGAGAAACTCATACTACAGATAATCCAACGTAATAGATTTTTAAAAACATCTCTATGGTGTGGAACACAGGTGTCTGTAATTTTAATTTTGGAGTCCCTGGCTGCTGGCTCTGCTGTGCAGTCCAGGTTTCACAACCTCTTCAAAGAAATAGATTCCTTCCCACAAGCCCTCAGCTGGAGAACAGAGATGCTGTCTCTCTTGCTAATGATTTAATTATTTCATCCAGGTTTTAATTCATTTCCTGGGCGCCTATGGTGAGCAAAAGGAGTTGTAAATCTTCGAGAGTGTCCAGGACCAGCCATCTGTGAAATTGTATTCAGGTTCCCCCAAAGAAATGAAGGGAATGAACACAGCTCACTCAGACTCTGGGGCACCCTCACCTGGGACTCAGAACTGTCTGCTACCCAAGATGCCATCTCATGAGCTGCACAGTCACAGATGAGAGTGGAGCTGGGAAGGAGCATACAGCAGGAGTCCCAAATCTTTCAGGCTCCCTGCAGCTGAGCCACAGAAGAACAGCAGAAAGGCAAAGCCCAACCTCATTGTATCCTCTGAGTGGGAGCTGCTGGGTTCCTCAAGGCGCCTAGTGGGCTTCCTATACTGTCCTGTGGAGTTTCCCTCATGGCCACTTTGTAGGGGGAGAGGAAGTATCCAGGGCGCACAGGACCTGCCTGAGAAGGGTCAGGAACATATGTCTCATCCACAGCCTGTCACCCTGTCCTCCTCTGTGGGATACCCTCAGATTCAGGTATCTCCTGCCAAGCATTAACTCCCAACTGCTTTTACAAGCCCTAAATCTGGTTTCCAAGTCAGTGCTTCCTTAACAGAGATGAGATCAAAAGTGTGTTTCTGGATGAATTCAGAAGCCCCAGGGAGGGAAAGCAGCCTTCAGCCATCCATCTGGTAGCTTCATCTCTTTGTTCTCCCTGGTTTGCAGAACACTGCTTCCCGAGAAAGCTAGGAAACTGAACTTCAGAGAATGAATTTCCCTGGGGGTTTCTGATGCTCCCTTTGCAGCTCCTCTTGCCCAGGGAGTCTCCAGCCTGTCTTCTGCAGGGTCTGCTTCAACTTGAAGTCCTCTCAATGACCTTACACTGAAGGAGAGATCCCTGGAAAACCACACAGGACTCTGTACCATAGCACACTGTCTTGCCTGTTGTAGGGGACAGAAAGAACCCTAACAACCACGGGGTTCCTACAGGCCTGGTGCCCACTCTCTTGGGTCAGGGTTCTGCTCCAGATCCAGTCAAGGAAGACCCACATGGGCAGTTTCCCTTTCTGACTCAAACTAAGCTCCATTGCCCCTGAATTCCTAGGAGCTGACCAGGCATTCCAGACCCCAGGTACATTCTCCATGAAACTGAGAAACTGACTCTGCTCTCTCACCCAATGACCCCCACCCAAGCATCAGCTCCCCTACATATCCCAGATCCTGTGGCCTCTATCTTCTTTTCTGCAGGTTACAAAAGACGTTTGAAAAAGTCAATGTAGCACTGTCAGGCATGGTCAGTGGCCTGAGACATGTCACTCTGCCCCTGTAGGATTGTAGCAATTGTTAAATTGTTAGAATTAATTAAAATAGTATCTTGGAAGTTGCTGATGAGCTTTGAAGAGTTGTATAAATGTCACACTTTTGGTGCCATATTTAGTTTCTTAATGCTGGATCAATATGTAAGGTTGTTGGGCTCAAGACACAAAAGATCCATGCCCTCTACCATCCTGGGAGCCCTTTAGAAGGCCTGGTTTTAAAGGTTTTCACAGCTTAACCTCATGGGTTCCACAAGCTCAGAATAAAGATAATGTTAATGTGAAAAAGCAGTGTCTTAAACCCTTAGTGTGCTATTCAGATATGCTCATGGGAGAAGGCAGGTGGAAAAATACTTCATGGAACAATGGAGAGTGAAAGCAGATGAAATCAGGGTCAGGGGAGGTGAAGATAGTCTGCCTGTCTGGGGGACACCCAAGGTCCTCTGAGGCTGCAACCCTGGTTTAGTGCTCCACACTGCACTGATTCCAAGGACAGAGTACGCACCCCACTCTGACACTCTGACCCATCTCCCCAACCTCAGAGCTCACACCTCCCTAGACCTTCAGGCTGACACAATGCCTCCACACACCTTCCCCAAGGAAATACACCAGTTCATATTCTGAGTTTCTAGTGCCAACCCAATGCCTGGATCATGGAGTATGTATGGTGGTTAGAGGAAATCCAGGAACAGCAGGATCTTTTCCCCAGAATATTTCTGAAATATGGTCCACCTGCATTATCTGGGGAGGACTAACATCAGGTGGACCACTGCTAGTATACATAAAAGAAACGTGATCTTGGAACCTTCTACTCTCATCCTCTTCCCCATAAAAGATGCCAGTTTCAACAAATAAAAAATACAAGCACCCATTTTCAATATGAATTTTTAAAAATATTTTTATTGGCAAGTCAAACTTTACAGAGACAAAGAGAGTAGGCTCTTCCATTTGCTGGTTCACCCATAAAGCAACAGTCAGAGCTGAGCTGACCCAAAGCCAGGAGCTTCTGGGTCTCCCATGGGGGACAGAGTCCTAAGGCTTTGGGCCATCCTTGACTGCTTTTCCAGGCCACAAACGTGGAGCCGGATGGGAAGTGGAGCAACTTGGACATGAATAGGTACCCAGAAGGGATCCCAGTGCATGCAAGGTGAGGACTTTAGCCACCAGGCTACCACGCTGGGCGTTTGAATTTCCAATAAGTAACAAATTTTAGGATAAGTATGTCCCATGCAATCATTGAGATTCAGTAAAATAAATTTGTGCTAACTATCATTCAAGCAGAACTAGATACCTTGCATTTTATCTTGGAGCCCTACTATTAAAACAGATTGTGGGCTGTGAAATTCATTGCTCTCTATAGGAAGCAATTCAGCTTTGGCCTCATTGACTAAATGTTCTAGCCTCTTAGGGGCTCAGTCTAAGACAGGGGAGCCATAGCAGTACGTGAGAATGAACATAAGCATACAAGTTCTATCATTCTGAGATAGAATGTGGATGTAGAAAAGTCAGAATATCTCTTCCTCCCATCATTGTT